TCTATCTTTTACATCCCTGTCAAGCTTCAAACACCTTCAATTGATAACGCGCTTGTGGGCTGTTTTTTTTTTTTTTTTGCCCTTTATCTCATTGGTGGAAAATATGTAAATGAAAGATTAAAAGTTTGTGAATACGCAAATTCCTTGGTGCAGTTTTGTGTCATTTATGAGCTTCTGTTGGTTTGTATATTGTTTTACATATCGAATAAAAGTTGAGTGGTTGATTGATGTAGATAGATTGAGATTTCATATTAAGGTTGGGTATGGAGATTTGTGAGGGTATGAAGATTTGTGGGAAGAAAAAAAATTGGGTTTGGATTTAAGGTATTCTAAAAATTTTAAAGAGGAAAAGAAAAAAAATTGGATTTGGGTTTAACCCGTAAGAAGTTGGATAATAATCATTATTAAAATTTTAAAAATTTGCACGTGTTATCCTCCGGGTGGAAGGACCTAAGTATTGTCTGCAAAAGGAAAAAAAAATGATAAAAGGATAAGAATATTTTTGGCTCCCTATTAAATTTCTCCCTTGATTTAGTTCTAATAATACAAGTAAATAAATTTTTTAGATAAGTTATAATATATTTTTCAAAAAAATTAAAATATATAAAGAAATCCAAAATATTGGGTGGGGCTTTAGGCCCTAGCTATCGCCTAACTCGCGTAAGCTTCAGCCGGCCCAGGTCATTGCTGCTAAAATTCCACAAGTTGACTTGACTCCCACAATTTGGATAGAAAATGTCTGGCTAATGGTCCCAAGCCAAAGTGTGCTACAATTGCACAAGTGACAATTTGGATTCCACAAATTATCAAGTGGTTGGGTACCCACTATCTCATTTGTGATCCAGACCAATTCGTACATTGCTGACATGTAAGCATTTTGCAAATTAATTTACACGTCAGCACATTTAACGAAAAAATAAAATGACTGAGTCGTTAGCTTTTTCTCTTCTCTTTCACATATCCCACAATATGGATAGAAAATGTCTGGCTAATGGTCCCAAAGACAGTCATTGCTGCTAAAATTCCACAAGTTGACATGACTCCCACAATTTGGATAGAAAATGTTTGGCTAATGGTCCCAAGCCAGAATCTGCTAAAATTCCACAAGTGACTTGACTTGCACAATTTGGATACCACAAATTATTAAGTCGTTCGGTTTCCAGTATCTCATTTGTGATCCGGACCAATACATAGCAAATATGTATGCATTTTGCAAATTAATTAACAGATCAGCACATCTGACGGAAAAATAAAGTAATTGAAGTAGAAAATTTGGAAAGATGAAGAAAAGTTAGGAAACAGATGAGACCCTCTATCTTGTTTTGGAAACAAATAAATATTTGATTTTTATTTTGAGAGAGAAGAAGGTAGAAAGAAGGGCGGGTTGTAACAATATTTTGCTGATGAAGATGACGATGGTGTATATAAAACCTATAATTAATGGGCGTGATTCGTCTCCATGGCACCTCCCACCAGAGGGTGTCCATGTCAGATCTAATGGCGGGGATGAAGCTAAGTAAGCTTAGCTTGTCCAATCATTGCTTTGTCACTGATGATTTTACCATATATGAATATGGTATACAAAAGTTATACATGGGACCCAAATCAATATTTCTTACCAAATAACCTTTTTACTTCTTCTCTTTTCAAAATTAAAGACTAACAACGAGACCTCCAACCTCTCACACACGGAGGTCCAACCATGGCGGATGTAGATATGGAATTCATCGTGGATTCAAAGGAGTACAACCTCCTCTCTAACTATGCAGTGGTGCGTGAGTTCCACGGCACCAAGGCCAAGACCAATATCAATCTCAACCTTCCTCTTCTCCTAGAATTCACTTGATCTTGCCGGAAACATTGTCGGTGCTGAAAACTCCGATCTTGCATGATCTGTTTACAATTTTGCGACTCCATTCACCTTCTTTTTTTTTCTTTTTCAAATAAAAAAATTATGAAATAGATAACATATATGATTAGGGAGAAAATCTAGTGAGAGAAAACTATATTTTTAATCATATATATTACATTTTTAATGGTATACTATCTGTTTTTAATGATAATAAATAAATCATGTGTTTTTAATGGTATATTATCTGTTTTTAATCATAATAAATATATATATATATATATATATATATATATTATCTGTTTTTAATGGTTTCCAATTACGTTATATTTGTGTTTTTTTTCTTTTCCTTGTATCGATAAATATACTGATACATATAGTCATATTTTATTTTTATATGACTTGTATCAACAAAAACATGAATTAAATTCAATATCAAACAAATATGTTTTAGAATGACATAACAATGTAAAACATGTTAAATTTATGAATTAATAAAATTATATAATAATTTAAGTTATAAAATTATATAGAAAAATTCGGTCTAATGCTTTAACAAATTCTTCTATAGAGTAAAAGTATATACAAAATCTTTCAACGGAATGTAACGAGTACTGAGTCGAGAGGAGGAAAAAAAAATGCTATAATGAGAGGAGGAAAAATATGTGAGGAATAAGAAAACGAGGGAAGATAAAAGTTAATAAGAGTCTTACAAAAATATGAAAAGTTTTACCAATTCCAACCATATTTAATATTTAATGTTGTTGTAATAATGATAATGAGAATTATCATTATATATATATATATATATATATATATATATATATATATATATATATATATATGTAATGAGGAATCGAGGATAATAGTGAGAATAAAAAGGACAATACTTGGGTCCTTCCTTTAAAGGATAAAGTTCATCCTCCCAACTGATGTGCCTCAATACAATTTAGACACATGTTTAAAATTTTAAATTTTATAAAATTTATTATTCCCTATTTTCTTACAGGTTAAACCGAATCCCAAAGGGTTTTTTTTTTTCCTTTCTAAAAGAATATGCTTGTTTTTATATCCAAATTGAAAAAATACTAAATTTATTTAAAGAATATATTATATTTGAATAGGGATGGAATAAGAGCTTAAAATATTATATAAAAATTTGATATTAATCTATATTAAAATAAAAAATTTCTCGTATATTTATTTCTTAGTCAAAGATAACTTTTTTCGTAAATCTAATTTTGGTTAGAGTTAGATTTATCTTTTGCATTCCTGTTAAATTCCCAACACCTTTAATTGATAGGGCTACAAGCGCTTTTTTTTTTTCTTTTTTTTTTTTTCTTCATTGGTGAAAAATATATAAATGAAAGATTAAAAGTTTGTGAATACTGCAAATTCCAATTTGGTGCAATTTTGTGTCACTTATGAGCTTCTTCTTCTTCTTCTGTTGATTTGTATATTGTTTTACATATTGAATAAAAGTTGAGTGATTGATTGATGTAGATAGACGAGATTTCATATTGAGGTTGGGTATGGAGATTTGGGGGGTATAGAGAGGGGGGAATAAAAAAAAAATTGGGTTTGGGTTTAAGGGATTCTAAAAATTTTAAATAGGGAAAGAAAAAAAAAAAATTTGAATTTGGGTTTAATGTGTAAGAAGTTGGATAATAATCATTTTTAAAAATTTTAAAAATTTGGACATATGTCTAAATTGTATTGGGCCACATTAGCAGGGAGGATAAACTTCATCCTCCAATGAAGGGACCCAAGTATTGTGAAAAAAAAAAATTAGAAATAAAAAATTTGATAAAAGGATAAGAATATTTTTGGCTCACTATTAAATTTCTCTCTTGATTTAGTTCTAATAATAGAAATAAATAAAATTTTAGATAAGTTATAATATATAAAGAAAAAATATTTGGGCGTTCAAAATAAAGAAGGTGAGAAATGATAAAAAAAAATTTAAGCCCACTATCAAATCTTTTTATTGGTCGAGGTTTAATACTTAAAAGAAAATAATATATTTTTCAAAAAATTTAAAATATATAAAATATCCAAATTTTTGGACTTATTGGGTGGGGCTTTAGGCCCTTAGCTATCGCCAAACTCGGGTAAGCTTCAGCCGGCCCTGGTCATTGCTGCTGACTTGACTCCCACAATTTGGATAGAAAATGTCTGGCTAATGGTCCCAAACCGCTAAAATTCCACAAGTGACTTGACTTCCTCAATTTGGATACCACAAATTATTAAGTGGTTCGGTACCCACTATCTCATTTGTGATTTGACCAATACATAACACACATGTAAGCATTTTGCAAATTAATTTACACATCAGCACATTTGGACAAATTTACTTAATAGTTGGTTTTGAAATGTTACTAAGAATTTCTCGGTGCAAAAAATAATATGACTCGGTCGTTAGCTTTTTCTCTTCTCCTTCACAAATCCCACAATTTGGATAGAAAATGTCTGGCTAATAGTCCCAAAGACACAGTCATTGCTGGCTAAAATTCTACAAGACTTGACTCCCAAGCAAGAGTCTACTAAAATTCCACAGGTGACTTATCGTCCACAATTTGGATACCACAAATTATTAAGTGGTTTGGTATCCACCATCTCATTTGTGATCCGGACCAATACATAGGAGACATATAAGCATTTTGCAAATTAATTTACACATCACGGAAAAATAAAGTGATGAAGGGCTGGCTGTAACAGTATTTTGCTGATGAAGATGACAACGGCATATATAAATCCTATAATTAATATATATTGTGTATATATTATATATTTCCAGAAATATATATTTTTTCACTTTTTTACTTTTTACCCTAGGACCGGCTGAAACAGATCCCCTATTCCACTCTAGACTATTTTTATCTAAATTCCACAGCCAGAGTTATTGCTGCTAAAATTCCACAGACTTGACTCTCACAATTTGGATAGAAAATGCGTGGCTAGTAGTCCCAAAGCCACTCATTGCTGCTAAAATTCCACAAGTTGACTTGACTCCCATCATGGCTGCTAAATAGAGTTGGTGAAAGAGTCTGTTTGGGTGTGGGTGTGTGAAATTTTTGTCACTAATTAGGGACAATCTTGTCTTTTCATGAAAGTTTATAAGAAGAATGTGAAAATGTCTGGCTAATAGTCCCAAAGACAGTCATTGCTGTTAAAATTCCACAATTTGGATAGAAAATCTGGGTTCCCTCCACCACACACGTCTTGTTTATTTGAAAGACTGTTTTATTTTCAGTTCAAAGTCGTGAGTGAGTCTAAAGACTCAAAGCCCAGAACAATGAATCATGATATATAGATTTCTTCACCATACAAGAGAACCAAAGATCCCCAAATCACTCCAACCTACGCATGGCTCCAATATTCTGTCTGTTTCTTGTTTTGATCACTGAATTTTCATTAGCAACTGCTCAACAAAGAAACTCCATCATAAGCCTAGGCTCCTCTCTCTCTCCAGCCTCTAGCAACTCATTTTGGTCCTCCGGTTCTGGCCAATTTGCATTTGGGTTCTACCCAAATGGTGATGGCTTCTCCATAGGCATCTGGTACGCAACAATTGCCCCGAAAACAGTCATATGGACAGCGAAGCGAGATGATCCACCATTTCACAGAGATAGTAAATTGCTTTTGGGTGATGATGGAAGGTTGGTATTGCGACAGGGGGAGGACCCTGAGATAACAATTGCCGGTGGGAACCAGACTGGTTCATCAGCTTCCATGCTGGACACCGGCAACTTCGTTCTCTATAATTCACGTTCAGAGATCGTATGGCAGAGCTTTAACGCTCCAACAGACACCTTTTTACCCCGTCAGAAGCTTCGCCAATTTGCAGAGCCGAAAGAGTTGTTCTCTAGCGTCTCTAAGGACGATCACTCCACTGGGAAGTTTCGGATCTTAATGCAGGAGGACGGATACCTAGCGCAATATCCAGCAGACAGCCCGAATTTAGTAGAATATGGTTACTGGGATTCGGGAATACACGGAGCCGGAAACAACGTGACTCTAAATTTTGATGACAAGGGCCAATTATACTTGCTTAACACCAGTGGCAATATAAAGAATCTGTATGATGGGGGAGATGTCTCTGATAAACTGATGTACCGCATGACAGTTGATGCAGATGGAATATTCAGGGTTTACTCATATGGCTTGAATCGGAGTGATGATGATTGGACAGTTGAGTGGTCATCTTCCAGCAACAAGTGTCTTCCTAAAGGCTTGTGTGGTCAGAATCAATATTGTTCCTTGATGAATCAAGAAGCTGTTTGTACATGTCTTCCTGGTTTTGTTTTGATTGACGAGGGCCAGAAGGACTTGGGCTGCAACAGAAATTATGTTAGGAATGGGAATGTTTCATTTAATTTTGATGAGTTAGATAATGTTGCTTGGTTAGAAAATTCGTATTCCACACTCCACAACAAGAGTAAATTTGCTTGCAAAGATGAGTGTTTGAAAGATTACGACTGTGAAGTTGTGCTCTATAAAGATGAGAAGTGCATGAAACAAAAGCTTCCACTAAAATTCGGAAGATTTCAGCTGAATGATCAAGTAACTACACTTGTCAAAGTAGGAAGCAGAGAATTCAAAAAAGAAAAGCAATCCAAAGTTCTTATTGTTAGTGTTGCGGTACTATCTGTTGCTTTTACTGTGCTAGCGATATCTGGGGTTCTGATTTACAAATACCGTGTGAAGGGGTACAAAAAGTTATTGAATGGTGGGAATGATGAATTGATTGAGGAGTTTATTCTTCGGTCTTTTACTTATGGTGAGCTTGAGCAAGCAACCAATGGTTTTGGGGAAGTATTGGGGAAAGGAGCTTCAGGGACAGTGTTTAAAGGGATTTTATCAAACAGCAAGAGAGCTGTTGCCGTTAAGAGACTAGAGACAGTGGTGGCTGAAGGCGAAAGAGAATTCCTAAATGAGATGAAAGTAATTGGAAGAACCCATCACAAGAACCTAGTGAAGTTGCTTGGTTATTGCCACGATGGAACTAATAGGCTTCTGGTGTATGAGTTCATGAGCAATGGGTCACTTGCAGATGTCCTTTTCAAGTCTGAAACAAAGCCAAGATGGGAGGAAAGAGTTAGAATTGCCGTGAATGTGGCTAGGGGCATTCTGTATCTGCACGAGGAGTGCGAGACTCAGATCATCCACTGCGATATAAAACCTCAAAACATCCTAATGGATGAAAGGCATTGTGCAAAAGTTGCAGATTTTGGGTTGTCAAAGCTGATGAACCCCAACCAAACCAGGACTTATACTGGAGTGAGAGGAACGAGGGGCTATGTCGCGCCTGAATGGCACATGAATTTGGCCATAACGGTGAAAGCAGATGTGTTCAGCTTTGGGATCATGTTGCTGGAGATCATATGTTGTCGAAGAAGCCTGGATCCAGACTTTGCCGAGGCTGAAGTAATTCTTGCAGATTGGGTCTTCCACTGCTTCGACTCTGATAGGCTGGACAAGCTGGTGCAGGATGAAAAGGTGGATAAGAGCAAACTGGAGAGGATGGTTCGGGTGGGAATTTGGTGCATCCAGGATGACCCATCGCTTCGCCCTTCCATGAAGAAGGTGGTGTTGATGTTGGAAGGGACTGTTGACATACCAACTCCTCCCTCTCCTACTTCCTTTATTAGTTCCATCTAGGCCTCTGATTTATGGTTTTGTAAGCCGAACAACAAAAGAATCAAACTCTTTTCACTATCTGCTTCCTTTTTATGTCTAGGATCCATGCTATATTGAATAATGAAACCACGTTATGGTGAGTTTTATATATATATATATATATATATATATATATATATATTTTCTTTCAGTATGATGTATTCCTTCTGTTAAGGACTTTTCTCCAGATGAAATGGCACAAATAAATTCTCTATCTAAAATTCAACATATTCTGGGTATCAAATCTTTTAGTTTAAATAAATATCCTCATGGACATGCAATTTCTTATGCAATTGCTTCTAGTTTCCTCATGGGCAAAAACATAGTCATTTTGTAACAAGTGACAGAATTTCTTCAATCTTTTTTCTTCAATCAACGGAGTGGAAATTTAGCAATTGGAAGTTTCAGAATGTAGCTCCAACTTGTCAATGTGGGCAGTGGAGTCTGAACTAGCAGCAGTGGGAATCGAAAACTTGATACTCCAATATAATAGTGTGTGTAGAGTGGGTAAGCATGGAGTAGATATTGGGTGTTCTAGGCATGCCACGTCATAAGTATACCCATCTAATTAAATATAACATATTGTCTCATTATCAATAATTTTACAATTTGATGTGCCAACTTTTTTTTGAAATGATGCATGGTCATTGGTCGGGACTTAGTATGCCTAGGGCACTCAATATCACTCGTAAGCAGGGTGTGCGATCCCATGTTGCAGATGGATCAAGAGCCGGCGGATAAAGCAAGCAGACTGAGTCATAAATGTGAGATATAAATTTGTAATTGGCATATTTCTTATTTCAAATAAACCACGCATCTATTAGTGAGAAAAGTTAGCTTATTTATTACATACTAGGAAAATTCACATGCGATGCACGTGATGAAATAAATATTTTTGTTAAATAAATAAACTTTATATAAAACTCAATATTTTATTTTTAAAAAAAATACAAAAACAAAAATTAGAAGATTTCATAAAAGAATCAATTCACCTGTAACGACTCAAACCCGGGGGTTTGAATCGCTAACCGGGTTCTTACTCGAATCTGGGGATACACTAGGGGTAAAATGGTCATTTTATAATATGAGAGGATAATCTGTCCTTCAACTAGTCAAATGAAGTTTAAAACAAACATTCTAGTCATTCTATGACATTTCGAAGAGGCTTTACGGCCATTGGTCATAATTTCCTAAAAGTGCCCTTACTCGGTTTAAGGAAAATTCTGGCACTATCCCACTAAAACAACCATATCTCTCAACATGAATAGAATTTGAAGGTGAAGTTGGTCACATTGGAAAGCAAACTCAAAATCCTTGAAAATGGACTCAAGAATGACCCTATTTGGGTTTAGAATGAAGAAGTTATGACTGCACGAAGTCAGGTGATCCAAGCTGACAAACTGTGAAAGCCAAAAAGTGCACTGGAGGACTTAAACCAGTTCCCAATGTAACGACCCGAACTCGTGGGTCCGAATTGTTAACCGGGTCCTTACCTGAACCCGAGGTCATCTAGATCATACCATCTATTTCCTGTGTCCAAAATCAGTATAAGGATCGATCCGGGGTTTAAGATACTTTAGAATACAACTATACAACAATAGTCAAACAATGCAGGTCAAAGGGGATGGTCAGACGGCTGGTGGGCCTTCATCGATAGACTGACATGGCAGGTTCAGTCAGCTGACCTAAAAGGGTCAACCGGCTGAAACGATTGCTAAAGATGAATGCTCTCGGGACTTTTACTATAGAAGTTTCGATCGGCTGATTCGGTCGGCCGAACTGGGGTTTCGGTCGGTTAATGGTGAGGGTCAGCCGGCCGAAACTAGGCCCCTTGACCCTGAACTCCTTGGAAATGCATTCTGGCTATGCTTTATGCTCGCTAAACCTATGATGAACCTGATTTGCAACAAGTCCAAATTCACGGCAAAAGAATAGACAACAATTCAAGATTTTTAACATACATAACTTGCCCCATTCACCATAAAATGTTTACATAGTCTCAAGTTACATCAAAATTTCATTGAGAATTATAATTACAATGCATAGTCAAGGTTTACAAAAATGAATGCACTTTACTACGGCTTTGAGACTTTACAAAAGAATAGGAAGTATACAAAGGACACACAAAAATAAACTCCTAATCTTCCTCATAGTTGTGAAGGGTCAGCGTCCACTACTTCCTTTCCTGGCCCTGAAAAATGTTAAATGATAGGGTGAGCATAAAGCTCAGTAGGTAGTGCCTAAGACACACCTCTTGTAGCCCTATGAATCCAAGCAATGAATAGAATAACAGGCAGCGAGGTCATGCTAAACCGGGAAAGTACAATGTCAATTCCAAGTTCAAAACAAACAAATATCGTGCCATGAATGCAATGCCATGCATATCACACCCCATTTTCAAAAAACATGCATCGCTTCACAAACTGTTAATGTAACCCGTCCTTTGGTGATTCTGCAGTGACACGAGAGAAGGGTTGGCTACTGTCTCTGACCCTTGGTACCCCCATGGCGTCATTTGGGGCCCAGATAGCTCAACCACGTTAGGGCGATCTCTCTAGTTCCCTCTAGTTTACATTAACACATTGGCCCTTTGGTGACTCCGCGGCGACCGGGTTTTCTCAAAAATCATTTATCCAAAATTCTCTCCAAAATCCCTTTTTCATCTTTTTCAAATCATTTCACCCTTTTTCATGCCCAATGCTTTGAATGCATATCACATGCCTTTTTAATACTATGAGAATTGGGAAAATTAATATTACACAATTAACATGCTTCCTCATTACAAATTTTAACAATTTAACGAACACAATAGGCATAGAAAATCAACATTTAGGCATGCTTTCCATGTAAATCAACAAATATACATAATTGCATGCTTCACATACACAATTTAAATCATTTAAGAAACAATCAATTCAAATTAAGCATAATTGACAACAATTATAGTAGAAAAACTCACAAAAGTGCAAGAAAGTGAGGATTAGAGACCCCTACCTCTAAATTGATGAACAACCCCAATTTTACCTCAAACCCTAGGATTTTGAGATCCCCCTAAATGGTGGCCGAATGGAGATCGGCTCTGATCAACTCATAGATCTCGCCGTGATCTTTAATTTGCCGCAAACGGCTTCTAAAAATACCAAGTATTGTGGGAGAAATTAAAACTTGAAGTTTTAATAGAAAAAGAAAAAGAAAAAGCAAAAAAAGTGGTGAGAGGGAGAGACCAGCGAGGAAAGAGAGTGAAGAAAAAAGAGTAAGGCCAAAAATTGGCCTCTTGGCTTGTTTCTAAATAAACATGTGGGTCCCACTTTTTATTACATACATTTTTCTTTTTATCTTTAATTTAAACCACAATTACACACATATATACACATATATTTCCACAACTACATAAAATACATGAGATGCAAATGGATCCGACCAAGATTCCCGTAAACAACAATTCCGGTAACGGGTCCCACACGGGACCATTCGACCCGAAAAACTAAAAAATGCGAAAATGGTTACCCTTGCATTTCAAAGAGTTTTGATCTCAATGAAATGCCCTAGACAACTCTCGGACACAACCGGTACTCTCCGTAGTGTCCGATACGCAAAACGACAAAAGACGAAAACGCCCTTGCAGCAACAAAAATCCCGGCGAAAAAGAAAAATGGCGAAAAATGGAAACATCACAATCTCCCCAACTTAAAAGGATTTCATCCCCGAAGTCAAGTCATACCTGGGAAAGAAAACAACTTTGGATACTTGGAGCGAACTTCCTACTCAAGCTCCCAAGTAGCCTCCTCGACCCCGTGATGCCTCCAAAGAACTTTCACTAGCGGTATCGTTTTGTCCCTTAACACCTTTTGCCATGTGTCAAGGATCTGAACTGGCCCTTCTTCATAGGAGACATCCTTATCAATATCCACATCAACCCAATTCAAAACGTATGATGGATCCGGTTCATATTTTCGTAACATCGATACATGAAACATGTTATGAACCCTGTCCATCTGCGGTGGCAAGGCAATTCTATAGGCAACCTCTCCTACGTAATCTAAGATCTCAAATGGTACAATGAATCATGGCGACAACTTACCACTTTTTCCAAATCTCATCATCCCTTCCGTGGAAAAACCCGTAGAAAAACATGGTCTCCCACCTCAAAAGATAGCGGTCGTCTCTGCCTATCATCATAGCTCTTCTGTCGGCTCTGAGCTGTGGGCAACCTCTGTCTGATCAGCTTAATCTTATCGGTAGTCTTGAGTAATATGTCAGGTCCTAAGGCGGCTGTCTTGCCCACCTTAGTCCAACAGACTAGAAAACTACAAGGTATGCCGTACAACACCTTAAATGGAGCCATCTCAATGCTCGCCTGATAACTATTGTTGTAGGCAAACTCAATAAGTGGAAGGTGATCCTCCCAACTACCTCCCAAATCAAGCACACATGCCCGAAGCATATCCTCTAAGATCTGGATGGTACGCTCCGACTGGCCATCTGTCTGTGGATGGAATGATGTACTAAGGTGCAACGTTGAGTCAAATGCTGATTGAAGTCCTTCACAGAACTTCGAAGTGAACTTGGCATCCCTATCTGAAACAATGGTTACTGGAACTCTATACAACCTTACAATCTCCTTCACATATAGAACACCAAGCACCTATGCGTCGTCTATTGCCTTAATAGGAAAAAAGTGAGCCGTCTTGGTCAATCTGTCAATGATGACCCATATGGCTTCATTACCCCTTCGGGACTTAGGAAGACCTGTCACAAAATCCATAGCAATCTGCTCCCATTTCCACTGTGCTGTAGGCAATGGTTGCAACAAACCAGCTAGTCTCTAATGCTCGGCCTTCACCTGTTGATAGGTAAGGCACTTAGTTACAAACTGTGCAACATCCTTCTTCATTCCATTCCATCAATACTGGCGTCTCAGATTGTGATATATCTTGGTACCACCTAGATGAATAGCAAAGCGGGAAGTATGAAACTCCCGAAGAACGTCCTCATGACAAGTTGTGGGAACAACCAATAAATCTCTGAACCGTAGACCTCTATCTGCATGTAAGGTCCAATTTTTCACTATCTCACCACTTGAAATCAAAGTGTGAATGGCATCCAAATCCGGATCCTGTCTCTATGACTCAATTACTCGTCCAACAAGAGTACATTGAGCCACAAAACTAAACAAGAATGCCGACTCATTGCATACACCGTCATCAGAGCATTGCAATCCTATCTCT